TTAGTATTATTGCTAAAATCTTGATTTATAGTTAAGGTTATTAAAATATTGAGTAGTTTTTTGCTAAATTTATCAAAACATCTATTTGAGGAATAAAATATCCATCAAAAACTAAATTTTGATTTAGCCATTTATAGTTTATTACTATTTTGGCTTTTCCTTATTTTTGTTCAGCATGGTTTCTTACCATGAATGCTGAACTTGAATGTGACTGTTGTTGGTTCTATTAGTCCTTTGTGTAAAAGTTTTGAAATTTGAATATCAAATTCATTTATATCTAGTTTAGTATAGATCATAGGTATAACTCTAATGATTTTATTAGAATCAAGCATTTGTAAACTACAATATCTAGGACTTCTAGACCATAATTTTAGTGGTTATTCACTAAAATTTTCTTCTAAAATTTTAAATAACCAATGTGATTCATTAATTGTTTTGATTTCAATTTTGTTAGCTTCAGGCTAAAAATTTAAATCACAAATATGTTTATGATTTTTGACTAATGGTATTTCTATAAATTATTTATCTATTGTAAGACTAATATGAGAAGGATTTAAACAAAAAGGTAAATAATTGTATAAAAAATTATTTCCTAATAGCATATCCCCATGCAGAAAAAAAAAAACATAAAATTTTTGGAATTATGAACTTTTTGTTCATCAAGTATATAGAAACATTTTTAGCTGTAAAACTACTAATAGTTTCTTTACCATCTATACTTATAACTGCTAAAGGATGTTTCATGAGTTCCCATTTGCTTGGTGGTAACATATTACTTTTATAACTAGATATAATAGCTTCTATATCAAGTAAAATATTTAAAGAGTATGGTTTACACTTTTTGAATCAAAATGCTACATTTATATATTTATAATGCCTTTTTGGTTGATTATTAGAAAAAGTAATAACTTTATCATCTAGAATTTTGTATTAAATAATGATAGCTAAACTTCTAATATCATAACTTTAAGTGCTTTGAGAAAAGACTGAATTTGAAACTGAATTTATTAAGTTGTAAACTAAGTTTCTTTATTATATTTAGGATTATCACTTGGAAATATAAGGAATATTGACATTTTTTGTGCTAATAAACCCTGCTTATGATCTAAAAGAATTTCTATGTAAACTAAAAGATTGTTCACTAGTAATACTTTTCACATCATCATCTTTGTTAAAATATAATGGGATTGAGGAAGAGGAAGGTAGTACTAGATTTTCACTAGAACTACTAGTTTCTGGATTTTTGAAATGTAGGTTGTTTTTTTATGCAAAAAATTCTAGAGAGTTGATTGTATTTATTATAGGTTTTTCCTTTATAATATCTTTTAATAACCAATCCGTAAGAACTAATAAATATCTTATATTCATTAATCATGGTTTGACTTTAAACCAAATTGCTCTTGATACAAGGTTTAATTGAATACCTTCTATTATGGATTTAACAGGACTGGTAAACCTTTTATCTAATAAAACTACTAATATTGATATGTCTTTACCAGTAATAAAAAGAGATTTGATAATAATCATAATCATACCTATATGTATGTATCTAACATCAAGATATTTGTGTTTAAATTTCTAGATTTTTCCTTTGGTAAAAAGAGGAATATCAACTAATCCTTGTTTAGAATTATTTGCAACTGTATCCCCACTAACTTTTTCAATGTGACGTTGCACCCCAAGGTTGAAATTTTTTGAAAAAAGAAGATTTATAAATTTCATCTTTTTTGATGATTTGCATTTTTGAAATATCCTCATTTGTTAAAGTATGAGTTTTCCCTAATACATCTCAGAGAGAAGCCATTTGTTGTGTTTCAATAGTAGAAATCTAAGTTTCAATAATAGTATATTTTGCCTAATTTGTAAAAGAATTTAACATAAAAATATATTTTGTTTTAGTATCAGAATCTGATTTTGTTTCAGAAAGTAATTCATAAATAATTTTATTATCAGATAATTCATCACCAAAACAAATTGTTAATTCTTGTTCGTTGAGAGTTTTAATAACCTTTTTAGTAGATTTACCCTTATTAGGATAATGTGTTGCTATATGGGTTTCTTCTTCACAAATAAAACATTTACATTTTGATTTTAACTTTTTATTAAAAGGTTTTCTTCTAATAGCAAACTTTTTTCCTTTAGTAACCTTATTTTTAGGTTTTCACTTAATCATTTTATAATGTTTTCTGTTTACTATGTTTTTTATAATATTTGTTGGTTTGCTTATTACAACCAAATTCAAATTCATGTTCTAAAATCTTAGTGCACTGTTTATTACTAAGTTTGCTTTAACTTGTTTAGCAGCTTTTTGTTTAAGACAATATTCAACAACTTCTTTAGTAGCAAAATAAACTCTATTTCCTAATGTATCTACTGCAATTAAGTTACTACTAGCTGGCTTATGTAATTCTAAATAAGTAGGATAATTTTTTAAACATAATTCATCCCATGGTGAGGGAAGTTTATGAAAATATTCTTTTTTCCAAAATCTTGAATGTGCTTCATCCAGTTTTTATATTCACTTATGTATTTTTTGGAATATTCTTCTAAATTTCTAATATTACAAAGTTTTATTTTTGACAGGAAAAACTGAGCTTCACTGTTTAGATCAACGTCAACCATTCTTTCAAAAAACTCATTTTTGAGTAGTTGGGTTAGACTTTTTAAGAGATTTGAGATAGTAATTATCTGATTAAGGAGTGTCCCTCTTTGAGTTTTTTCAATTTCAAATTTTTTCCATTTTCTTAAAAATTGTAAAACATCACCTTGCCAGGTGCTACAGAAATAATTCAAAATTTTTTCTTTAGTCCATGTATCTTTATAACTAGTGACAATAATGGATATGGATTTTGCCCAATCTTTTATAGTTTTTTCATATTCAGAAATAAGAACTTTAGATAGATCTAAATAGGTACCACTAGATACAACATTTTTCTTATTTAGAGAATCTACAACCATGGTGTTTTGAGAATTTTGACCTACTTGATTAATATTTTTTATTTCATCTCGAAGTATTTATTGTTCAAATACTTCTGGATTACTCATATCGGGAAATCTAAGAAAATCATTCATTTTTCTGGGTTAGAAACTTCATCAACTTTTCTTTTTCTACAATCAACTTTTTGTTATTCAATTTCCATAAGAGTAAGTTTTTTCTTCTTTTGTTGCTTCAGAAGAAGATGTTTCTATATCTATGTCTGGAATAGTGGTTTCTTCTTTAACTATTGAATTAGTAGCTAAAATATTATCTGGATTATCACTATTTGTACTATTTTCATCAATTGTATCATAATTAAGATATAGTGATAATTGAATTTCTTGAAAAGTTCTTTATGAGTTTCATAAAGCTCTTCAATCATGTTTAAATACTCGATCTTTTGATTAGGAACAATAGCTTTATTTATTTTAAATTTCAAATGTTCAATTAAATTTTTATAGGATTTAAAATCATCTTCTCTTATTGGGTGGTTTAAGTGTTGGAAGAATAATTAATATTGCTTTCTTTTAGTTCATGTGCAGAAACCTATTTGTAGTAATTATCTGTTAGAAAAATACAAAACAAAACCAAGATTTTTTGTTGAATTTACATTTTCATTCATGGCCTTGTTATAGCTGGTTTGGCAGGTTAGGTCATGAATTATCTATAACCATCAAACATCTGGCTTTGGCTTAACCCTTAGAAGAAGTAGATGTTTTATGTAGTGGGCTGAACTTTAGGTGACTGTTGGAATTTAGTAAAAGTATTTAGTGTTTGATTTCCGTATTTTATTTTATGCTTTTTTATTAACCATTTGGGAAGCAAAAAAGTAATAGTAAATAGCAAATGAAACCTTAATGCCTCGCTGGTTTAACACTGTGTTGCAATTGGCTTAATGAAACCGTCCTTATTGTGAAAAGTGAAAGCAACTCGTAAGATTTTTTTGTTTTTTGAGTAGATGTACATATAGTTATACCTAAATGTACTTCTCTTATAAATACTATATACATATCCTATTAATACAATGTACATATTAATAATATGTGCATATTATTAGCTTATCTTATACATGTGTTTTTGAAATTATGCAGTAGCCTAGTTTAGAATATCTTAGAAACCACAAATTTTTATGCTTAAAGGTTTCTCCGAATTAATAGAACAATTAATGTACTTTTTTTTTTTTTTTTTAATTTTCTTGTTCTCAGCAAGTGTACATATAATTATAGGAATATGTACATATATTTATAATAACATGTACATAGAATTATAATTTCATGTACATATAATTAACTTACATATAAGCAAATAAAGGAAAACAAATCCAATGAAGCCAAAAGACAATCAAATAAAATCAAAGTAATGATATAAGTAATTTATATAACTTAATGGACGAGGAAAAGGAAATATGAAAACTCTCATAAAAACCATGCATTCCCTTTCAGAATCAGAACATAATAAAGATTAATAGTGGATCTATTCCATGAGTTTTTATACTCACTGCAACTGAGCAAAGAAGTGGATGACAACTCTTATACGGATAGTATTATGGTTTAGAGTTTGATGTTCAACTCAACAGTACCATCTCAGTGCTTTGGGACAATGAAAGAAAAGGTTACTGGCGGAATTTGATAATAGCACGGAATTATAACAGGAACATGTAAAAATTTGTTATAAATTATACCTTTTTCAAATCCTCACAATTCTCTCCTCATTCCTAGAAGTTTAGAATGAAATGATCAAGTTGTCATAAAATAAAAAGTGTCATTTAATTAAAATAGAACATGTCAACCAAATTGAAACAGGAGGATGTTACCTTAAATGATAGTTATAGAAAACATTGCATAAAAATTTAAGAAAATCATAAAATAACACAAAAAATAATGTTATATAAGTTAATTTACTTTCTTACATACTAGGATTGAAGCCCACTTCACCTGCATTTAAAAGTAAAAGCAACAAAATCTAAATTTGTTGTTTTTTTTTTTTTTTTTTTTTCCTTTCTTTCGCTTTTCTTCTACTTTGTGCCCCCTGACCTTTATCTATCAATACTTTTTTCTCCATTAATGTGGCATCCACATACCAGACATCATGGATGTCATAAAAGTTTCGTTAAACAGAGTTATCCAAGTGTGGAAGCATTTAAATCAATATATATATATATATATATATGTACAATGATTGAACCATAGACATAATACCAAAGGACTTGTTACATCTTAAGCAAAAGCATAAGAGCTAAACTTGAATCCATTACTCTATGAACATTGAAATGATTAGATTCCAAAAAATTGTATGCAAAGGATTTGGTTAATAGTATCCGCAGAGAATTACTTTTGTTAAACACTTTCCGCACCAAATCCATCGCGTTTCTTCCCATTATTGCCTTCACTCAACTTGGACTTTGGCAAAGAGGAGGAAACTTTCATAGGGGACCGTTGTTTCTTAGAAAGTAAATTCAGGTACGTGAAAAAGGACATGCCACCAATAGCTATGAATGCTCCACAAATACTGGTTGTGCCTGGATTTGAACCGAAAAGGTAATAACTTCCAAGAAGCAGAACACAAGTTTTGAATTGCCCAAGAACCACATGGGAAATAGCAGATGTAGCCCTGAAAGTTGATAGAATAAAAATCAAGCAACCAATTATCTTAATCAGAATTAAAACATCATCCAAACTGAATATTAACTATTAAGAAAATGCAATACCCATTACTTTAGAGTTCAGTCTGCTCATAACCTTCTTTCTAGATGTCTGGAAACCTTTATTCATCTTGAAATATCAAAACATACAAGTGAATCCATGTTTTCCTTTTTTTTTTTAATTTTATTTATCTTTTCTCAATAGGTTAATTACAAAAATCTAATCCATCTGAAATGTATGAGAGTCGAGAGAACATATGATATGCATCCAACAAATCAAGTTGGAATTATAAGATTAGAGAATTTTGAAATTTTGTTAGGGCAAAGTCTAAAACTAATTGCACATGAAACTGACAGAAAAGATCTCAGCCATTGATCAAATAAACAAGATCATCTTCTTTCCTACAGAGTTATTTTTCTTATGCTTTACTTTCCTTGACCTTCTTGAAAAGATTTAAGCCTCTAAAAACATGTTTGATTCATGGAAATTGCTATTTCATTCCAAGTTTTATTCTTGATCGAATAGCTATTCCTAAGTTTTGTTCAAATCTGAGATGAAAATAGCTCCTGCAGGTCAATAAGGTCAGTACTAGTCAGAATTTTCACTTTCTTTTTCCTTTTTCATGTACTTGAGGAATTGAAACTACAATTTATGGTTCCTAATCAAAGCAATGTATAAAAGAAGGAAACCAATGTATAGAAATGAAGGATATGACTAAGTTTGGAAGCCCAATCCATGATTTTGTTTTGGGGAGAAGGGTGGGTTTACAATCCTGAAATAGGCAAGAAGGGATAAGAACAATGATCTGATTGGAACTCTCTGATACAGAAGTCAAGTAGTGTAAACCAAGTCCAATGTCATTTCTTATAATATCTTCACAGCATAAGTTTAAGTAAATTATTATTTGTGAATGTAGTATTGTTTTCCATTTCGAGAGAGTTGACTTCCAAATTTATTTTCAACAAGGTCAACATGAAGGCTAGCAACAAGTCAGTTGCAACATAGAAAACTTTATCAAAGATTTCCATGAATGACTTTGTAAGTTTCTTTGTTCTTTGAAGCTATGTTACTTGGATTTGATGGTGAGTGTCATATACGAGTATGGTGACACGAATACGTTCAATTTTTTTTAAGCTTTTTCCATATGTGGAGGGTCAAACCTCCATAGCCCATACCTAGGTATGGTGGATATGTGTAGGATAAGGTACTTCAAAGAAAATGAAGAGGTGCAGCAACAAACAATTTCAAGAACTGTACCATATTGGCCATCCAGGACAAGCATACAAAAAGCTATTATTTGACCAAAGCAGTGTTAGTATATGTCCTAGAGGCCAAACGAATTTGCCTAAATATACCATGCTATATTATGAATTTTATAAATATATTAAAGGTCTTTTATTTATCTATAAGATTTCTTTATATATTACTATTATTGCTTAATGATAAAGTTCTTAGAATATATATAAGTTTTGCAAGAGAATTGCAAACAAGTTATAATTATGAGATTATCATTGCATCAAAATTATATTTCTTAAATGTTCCTAATCATTGCTTTGTCAAAAAAAGACATTGATAAAAGTTGTTAAGACCAACACATGGTTATGTTCTTACTTATGAAGCAAGCAACCGATCTCATTGTTGAAGTTTGGATAAACTCTAGATACCATATGTGTGCTTGTTGCAAGAACAAATTCATTGAATGTGACATGATATGAGAATGTCATTTGGTATGTCACTTAGTGTTTATGACAACATTTTCACTTGATAGTTGTATAAGTGATCATTTGACTTCATATTACTAATGATCTTATACTTTGGTTATTTGTTTATGGTTCTAACTATGGATGCCACAACAAGACAATCTTGGGGATAACATAAGACATATAAAGATGCATCAGTAATTAATATAGGATTCACCACCTTGAGTGATTGAGAGAATATTTCATTAGTCTTAATAATAATTAACTCAAAAAGTCTTTGGCCAAAACATAATAAGATTTGGGAATTGCTTTAAAACTTATTTAAGTAGCTAATATCTTAAGACTTAATATGATTAGACAAATTGAGTAAACACTAATTCATGCTCAATGTCAAATCGAGATATTAAGTGATGAATGGATAATAATTATATTGAGAAACTAAGTATGGATAAGTTGGCCAAACTACTTTGTAGATCTGGCAATTCGTGTGTCATCGTGTCGTGTAAAATACTGTATTCGTATTGTGTTTTATGCAAAAATTGCTTGTCATAATTCGTATCGACATAAAAACATAAAATACAATTTTTTTATTTTATTAAACTTATTTATGGTTTTTCTAAAATTTTAAGCCGTGTTATCTCCGTGTTCTTTATTCATATCGTTTTTGTATCATGTCATCGTGTTGTGTTTCAAATTGCCAAGTCTACCACATTGACTTCTCATAATAATTGGGGGTCATGATTCATTACTGGATGACAATCATAATCTATAAATATAATATTAATTAATTAGAGAATTAATGACTTAGATGGCCATTCTCAATTGACTCCATACTAAAGACGGATTAATTACATAGGGGATTCCTGTAGATGAGATATGTGTGCTTTGTAAGCAGGAGAAAGAAAGCAAAGATCACGTCTTCTTTAGTTGCAGCTACTCAAAAGAGGTATGGAAGCAGACACTGTTGCTATGTGACCTAAGGCAAGAAGTAGTTGGATGGGAAAATGAGTTCCATGGGCTGTGGCCAAGCTTAAAGGGAAGGCATTGGTTTCCATTATGCTTTGGTTGGCTCGGGGAGCATACATATACGGGATATGGGTAGAGAGACATAGAAGAATATACAAAGTTAGAAGCATTAGCAGGAGAGATGATTTTAAAGAAAATCAAAGAGGTAGTCAGGTTAAGAGTAATGGGACTGAAAAATGTTACTTTTGATCATGTAAATCAAGAATTGAGTGAAAGTTGGGGGTTAAGTAGAGATATGTTTGAAATGTTAATATTGGAACAGTTGTACATGTTTTTTTGTAGCAGTTTACTGCTTCTTGGATAATGAACATAATACTTATCCAAAAAAATTAGAGAATTAATGATGAACTCAAAGGATTTTGATTAATCTAATCCAAATTTATCATGGATTATAATATTTATATTTATTGCTAACATGTTGCGAAACCTAATGGGTCACACAAAATAGAACCCTGCTTGTGAAAGATTAAAATTGGGTTTAATTAAGTTGGATTTAATTACAAGGTTAAATTAATTAGAAGCCCAAATAAAGGAATTATCAAAGGCCCAAACCCTATTGAGAATAGGGCATGGTCAGCCACTCCCACTATTTAAAAAGGTCTAGCCGCCTCCTCTCTTCATACTAACCAATCTCATGTGTTGAGAACGAACCTTAGAGATAACAAAAGAGAGAGCATATACTACTAGCATAGTGTTCGGCCACCTCCTTCCCACCTCTTGTGCAGGCTCTTTTCACCTTATTTGTGTAGACTAATGTTAGAGACTGAAAACTTAGACAGTTGTTGGTTTGCAACAACCAAAGTCTAGGAGATTAATCTTGCCGGACACAACTACCTAGGGTATGAAGATCTGCTCTGCTTGATTGTGCTGTGAGATTGTGTATCATCTTGTCAACGTAATCCTAAGGTTTGAGAGTTGAAATATTTTTAACTTTCACTGCCTATACATATTGTTTTCATGAACAATTCCCAACATGCAAAGCAGTTGCAATACATATCAATTAGTTCCAAAACAACTAGCAAACTTGGGCAACTATAATAAATGAAAAGACAGATTTACCCAAGCACCAAAGCTCCTGACCACTGAAGCAAGAAACCAAGAAAAGCTGATACAAGGATTGCTGATGTATTATTGAAGCTCCAATGGAAGGCGAGCACACCAGGGGGATCAAGGAAAGGAATCATAGAAACCAGAAAGAGCAAAGTGATTGGAGTTGTTTTCCACATTAACCTGTTCAACAAAATCATAACTTCAATAAACAGCCAATTTGACAAGTTTTAGAAACAAAATTAACATAAAGGAGAACACAAACTTGTTTGGATATCAAAATAATGGAAGGGAAAAGAAAAGCCCACGGGTAACTATGAATCCATTTTCTATATTTAAGAAATAAAAAATAGAAAAGAATGGATGAAAAAGAATCATTTTTGGGTAATCTATTGGGCAGGACAAGATGTAGCCCACCCAGGTCCCATAAACACTGCTCTTATTCCTAGCAGTTTGAACCTGAGACATCCAGGTTGAGAGCCTAGGTATCAAACTAAAAAGTTGTCACCTTAGGGACATTAACAAAAAGGAATCAATCATCCTTCATTCTGCTAGTTTTATATTCCCCAAAAAGATTAGCGGAATAAGGACAAAAAACAGGTCTTGAAGAATTTTTCATTGATGTGACCTTTTTACCCTTTATAAAGAGTAACTTCAAAAAGTTTCTCTTTGTAGCTGTTGACTAGCAAAATATGCAATACTAGTCATTTTTCCCTCCTCTATTAACATCCAAACATGAAACTTTTATCATCCTTTCTATCCTCTTGATTTCCTTGGGCTAAGCCTATCCTTTGCATGCCTTTCCATCAAGAACTCCCAAATAAACTACTAGAGTGCTCAAAGGAGCTTGGAACATACGACAATGCTGTCCAATTCTCTTGTTGCTGCATGTTGGACCAAAGGATTTTATTGACAGCACTAGGGATTATCCATGCCATCGCTACACAGGCTCCAAAGAGGCTGAATTGTAAATCAGTAACCGTAGCAATTGCAACACCAATAGATACAATTGTTAGTGCAATCACCTGACATATTTCATAGGAAGAATTTCAAGAAAAAGGGGACAAATGCTACAAACTATAGTGTTCAGTAATATAATAACAAGTATATCTCACAATATGGATTAAATCTCAAGCTATGTTGCACACAGATAAATTTAAGATTTTTGGACAGCTCAAAAACCCTCAAACATTTATGAGGGTCACATTGGTCAAAAGATGCAGGAAGAAAATATAAAAAGATTATTATTTAAGAGTCGTTTAAATTATTTTATTCATTCTTGCATGTGACACTGAGTAGAAACATATATGATTAGAATCATCCAAAAAGCATCTCTGAAAATGATCACTTCCTCTTTCAACCCAAATTCATTGCACTAGAAATGAGCACGTAACTTTGATGCATTATAATCTATTAATTGAAAGGAAATCCTTCAACTACCTCCATGCTATATTGCTATTATAAATACTTTCTTATCAATTCTCATACCACATTGCTCAAAGTCATGAAAGAAAAGCCTAGTCTTCTACACTAAGACCTCCCTAATTTTGTCACATTACACCTATGAATACCAACTGATCCCCTTTCAATTAAATAATAAACCTTTAAAAGCCAAAAATTTTAATAACTTTAAAATATAATGCATAATCCTACAACCACAACACTGTCATTGCAAAACCTCTCCAAATCCTTATTAACAAACTTGAACTTATAAGATATCAATACCTAGTGTATTATGTCTTCTTAATGACTAAATTACATGCTTAGAGTTTTAAAAGGAAATTTCAAAGATTATACCATTTACTGGATCTAATAAAATGAATAAACTACAGAATGAGCTACCTATTTCAGATCCCCTTAAGTATTAAAGTAAATTAAGCAATCACTTTCGGACATGTAAAAGAAAATTCCACTTTCCCAATATAGGCACAGTGACATTTTTTAAAATATCATGAAAGAGGAAAACAAATTTAATCTAGAAAGGATGAGAAAACAAGTATGAAAGATTTAAACCTCTATTTCTAGAATAGCAAATGTAATCTTGCTCTTGTTTTTAACAAGAATTAAATAACCTGATCTCAACCACAAGTTTAACACACATAAGTAGATGCACAATGTGTATGCAGTTAGTAAGCGGTTCATGTCCAACAAAGTCCAAGAAAGCAAATATGTACTCCATTTCAAGGTATTGACAATGTTACCGGATGATGGGTATATACCTTCCAAATTTGGGACAAACATGCTTCTATCAACATGATGAAAAATAATGTCCTAATGGACAATAATAGCAGTCTATTTCTCCATCTGAAGAAAGATCTAAAATTTATATAAACTCCATACAAAAACCTTCCTCATTTCATTCTTTCCTATCACTATAACTAAGGCCAGTAAACCTCATATGGCAATGCATCATTTCCAATTTCACAGACGAGAGAAATGAACAAGTTACCTTCGAGAAAGTGACTCTCTTCTTATACCATATAAATTCTGCAAGGACAATAGATGGGGTGACAGCAATCTTAGCCATCTGATAAAATCCCACACTGGAAAAGTAAATTAAAAAATAAGTCAAAGAGTCCTCCAGGAGGCTTTGATCAGTTATTATTTATAAAGAAAAAACATATCTAACCTGTTGTATTTCAGGCTAACATTAGCAAGACCAGTAGATAAAGACATAACAATACCAAGAGTAAACAAAGACAAAGGGGTTGATTTTGAGGGCGTAGATGCTGGGAGGAGAGAAAAAGAATTCAAAATGGCCATCAATGCCCAGCTGACAGCATAGTGAATAAAAGTTAGAAATACCGGAAACTGGAATCCTACATTTTTAAGTACCTGAATACACAAAAAGAGTATGACAATCATTTAGGATGATTCTGCTACATCTAAAACCAAGATCGCGACAAATAGTTGTTTTATTTATTGGGAACATTTGGCATACAAACCCATTTGTTCATGAAAATAATACCAACAGCAATCATAAAATTGAATGTAAGAGCAGCAACAGGGCCACAAATTCCTTGCTGTAGATGCTTTGCACTTTCAAATGAGTGGAATTTGTTAAAGAGAGAAGCTTGCAAGTCCTCTAGGGCTTTTCCTGAATTTGTGAGACAAGAAACAAAGAAAATGAGGAGAAACACACCGGAGAGAATAATGTTTTTCAATATATTTCATAGTTTATACAATTGCAATAGTTAAACATTTCATTCCAGAGACATGAAATAACATAATCCATTAAAGATAATTTAAAGAAAGTTCTGAGCAAAACCTCAACAGTCCTGCTATACACATGAGTAGGCAAAAATATTTGGTGGAAGGTATGAAAAAAGTGTAGCATAGAAGGATTACAAATGGTTCCGATAGTTTTCAGACAAAGTAAATAGATGTCAATGGATTGCAACTATTGCAGTAGTTAAGGATAGAGTTCACTAAAAATTATCAGACAGCCTAAAATGCAGATTGAAAGCAACATTGTACCATTTAACAGAACAACAAAAGCTGTGTTTAAAGATTTAGCATTTTTAAAATGAGAAAACTGTTCCAGAAGAACTGACTATTAGAATCATCCAGCCCTGATGAGATGCATTTCATGTAGACCTGTGAAGTTCTGACTGCTAAATGTGCCTTGATTTAGGCTTACTATTGCATATAAAGAACTCTTAACAATTGAAAAATCATCATCTCCACTCATTACACTTGTAACAGATAAAGCTACTTAATCTAAGAGTAAACAAATGCTACTACAAGCCAATTAAAATTAGAGTATTGAAATAAAAAAGGGTGCTCCTCCTACATTATTCCTTTTGAAATAAAGGTTGTTTACGTATTTTCAATTCCAAGATTTAACAATAGTGAGATCTTAATAATTGGTAGACATTCAAAGTGAGTTTTCATCCTCAAACAAAGATTTTGTGAAATGGATTTCTACTAGATATATGAATTTCCTAGTTAAGGATACAGAATATTATATCAATAATAAAGGTCTAAAATGATGAATTCCCTTGAAAGAATTCATGTTCCCTAGACAAGAATCTTACCAACTCTCTCTTCGTGTACAAATAACTATGATCTCCAATCCTCTTCTTCTAAGAATATTAAAAACCGTTCTTACAACTCAAATGTTATTAGCTAAAAAAGCCTTTTTTGTCTAAATTATTCAAAAACACACATCTTATAGTATAACCTAAAAAACTTTTCCTCCAAAATTTTGCAAGGGGCATGCCTTTTTTTGTTGTCATTTCGTTGTCAACTAAATTTCCAATTATCCATTACAAATTCAATCACTAACGATTCTCACTTTAACCAGTTGTATTAATTAATCAAGCATGAATACCACCATTACCTTCAAAGAAACAGAAAACTAGAAAGGACACGTAAAGTTGGATTTATCAACAAATTCAAAATTGCCATTTAATAAGGGTTGGGTACTTGATAAGCTTCTAGAGATAGGAAAAAACCAAAGCTAGAACTAACATGGTGAAAATCCCAGTTTGAGTTAATTTCTACAAACACGATCTCTAAATAAACATAATTGCTTCAAGAAAAAGAAAAGTTTAAACATCTACTCTTTGAAAAGCAAATCACAATCATTCAATTTTTTTAAAGAAATACAAAAAAAAAAAAGGGGACATGCAAGCCAAATAGAGTACATAAACGGATTCTTGAAATAACTATAGTGTTAAAATATTGCAAAAACCAAAAAATAGAGATTATTGCTCCAGGCAAATCCTTAATTTTAATTTCCAAAAAAAAAAAAGGATAAGTAAATAGAAACTAGCAAGCAAAAGTTTGAGGAACTGAACCCCCAAAAAAAGGGGGAAAAAAAAGCAAGAAAACGAGAAAAGAGTGGAGTGGCTTTTACCGCTTTCACCAGCATCGCTGTCCTTCCGCTTCAATATCTTCTTCACATCTCTCCTTACTAAAAAATTGAAAATCTCACGGCTACAAAGCATTTTTCCCTCTTCAGATTGTTGTTTTTTACACTTCCATTACTACTTTAGTAGAGTCCAAACTCATTTCACAGCTGCAAGTTGTGTTTATTTTTCTAGTTCAAGTAGAAAGAACTCCAAAAAGAAGGTTTTATTCAACCTTTGCTAGGATTTTCGCGTCAGTCAATTTGTTAGTATTTCTTTTAAATTTTTAATCTACTTTATTTTTATTTATTTAATTTAAAAAATATTACGCATCTATATTGTTTAAAACCCACAAGATCTGATAACAGGTCTAATTGTCCACCATACGGGATTGCAAGAAGGAAAACAAGGCAAAAGGCATAATTAAATTCTATTTTATGCAAGAAAGCGTACCAGACACGTGGCGCTGATAGCGGAACATTGAAAACTGTCGGGACACAGAGAAAATCACGGAGTTACTGATCAATGCCTACCGACCGACACTAAAGTACTGGAAAAAGCTTGTGTTTTTCGCCGGAGTGCTTGCTTGTGACATTATATTTGACTCCGCATCAAATCTAGAAAAAAAAAAAAAAAAAAGGTCAAATTTGTTATGAGTACGGTTATTTGCGCCCCAGTTTTTTCTTAATAGACTCCATTATTATTAATATTTAATTTTTTGTTTAATGCATCCAAAACCTAATTTTATATGTTGATAAACATTATAAAAAAAAGTAAAAAAAAGATTAATTTTTTTTAAAAAAGAAAAGATATATGTTTTTTTATTTGAATAGTTAAAATTAATAAATTAAAAAATAAAAAAATCTTAGCAACCATTATTTGATTAAATAATGAAAAGAAAAGAAAATATTTTATTATATTATTTTTTTGAATTATAACCTTTAATAACCTTTATTTTTACTATAACATTTATATATTTATATTAAAGTATTCTATAGTTTTAATTTTCTTTTATTTTTTTATAAAAATAATCATCAATAAAATTTATGAAATTTATAAACATAAGAAAAAAAAATGAGAGACAATAAATTTATTGGTAAGTGATGTTTTGTATTCTTAATCTAATTTTGGAGTTCAAAATCATACATTTTTAATTCAAAGAAATTAATATAAATATATAGTCATTTTATATTTTAAAATTTTTATTCTTTTCATTTCTCTTCCTTTTCTCCCAAATTTGATGTAGTTAAAAAAATGAAGAAAGTTAAGTAGAACCAAGGGAGCTAATCATACTTTTTTTTTTATTATTTATGTCATTTACAAACAAGAGAAAAATTTTTCTTTTTTTTTTGTTTCCTTTCCATTTATTTCCTTTCTCTCCTCTTACCTCAATCCAAACATGTTGTAAAAGATAAATTTATTAGAAAAGCCAAATACCATATTTCACACTCCATCTCCTTTCTCTATCTCTTCCAACCAAAAACCTTAAAGGATTAAGTCCCAATCAAGCTACATTCAAAGAAAATTTTAGCTATTTGACATTAGAAAGTTTAAAATAAGAGGTAAATAATTTATTCTTTATACTTTTTTGTTTGATTTCGTATTTAGTTTCATAAAAATTAAGATTTTAAGTTTTGAGATGCCATTTGAACATTTCGAAAGTAAATTTCTAAACGTTCAAAATTTTTAAAAAACTCTTGAAAATTCATTTCCCGAATCTTTTAAAGGTTTCTAGACATCAATTTTCAGAAACCTTTAAAATATTTCGAGTGTAAATTTTTTAAATTTCTTAATTTTTGTCGAAAATTGATGTTTGGAAGTCTTTAAGGGATTTCAAAAATAAAATTTCCTAAGTTCTTGAAGGATTCTAAAAATAAATATTTGAAAACCTTTAAGGGATTTCAAATATCCACTTTTGAAAGTTCTTAAAGGTTTCCAAAAATGGATATCTATGAGCTGTTAAGGGATTCCAGAAAGCCACATCCATTTTCCAGAAATCTCTTACAAATGTCTGAAAACCACAATACTTTGATACTTCATGCATGTGTTATTATGTACTCATTGAGTCATATATATTTACTTTAAAAACTATTGTGTTATCATTTAATATTTATAAAAATAGATATAGCATGAAAGAAAGGAATGAGCGTTAGTTAAGGTAGTGGACATGCTACAATCAATATTTAGAGGCGTCTGACTACCTCTGAGAGGAAATGATGAGCTGATGATCATAAGTCAATTGTTGATCCGATAGAGTAGTTAGATGTTGATAAGGCACAACAGCTTGTAGAGGAACTAGATTTAAAACTTGCAAAGCCAGTTGTTCATCCCTTAGAGCCATTTCTTTGAGGGTCGATAGATGCTTCTTTGCTTTTAAGCTTCGACACTCATATAGTAACACAAATATGGAATGGCTAAGTAATAAATTAAATGAAAACATTAATTGATGCTTACTTTTGTTACTTAATGTGCACAAAATTATTAATTGGTTTCTATTTTTTGTTGTTTTTATAAAAGCGAGCTATTTTAAAATCAATCAACCATTAGGCAAAGTTACAGCAATAGCCTCTAGATGCTTTGCGACAGCATATTCATCATCACATTATTGAGTCGAGATTGCTGCCTTTGATTGATTACACCTATCATGTGTTCAACAATATGATAGTGTTAGCATTTGTTGAGTAGTGGTAGTAAGAGACAAATACCTTTCACCTACCATTCGATGAAATGACGATCACATTGGATGATGTATACATGATTCTCCATATACCTGTCATAAAGGTGATGATATCACTACCAAAGTTGATAACGACTGAAGAGAAGGCATTATTGGTAAGGTTGTTTGGAGTTTCAGAGGAAGTGGCATCCACTAAGATGAGGATTTCTCATGGTCAATATGTCAAGCTACAATGGCTGCGGGATATATTTAGACATATTATCAATAACGCTTCTGATGGAGATGTGGAATGCACTACTAGAGCTTTCTTGCTTCATCTCTTAGGATGCACACTTTTTACCAATAAGAGTAGAGATAAAGTATCTGTAGGGTCTTACATTTATTTAGAAATTTGAGCACCATCGATACTATGCTTAGGAGGCATCTTGCTTAACATATTTATACATGCAACTTGACATAATGAGCAGAGTTAGTGTTCATAAGATTGTTGGTTATATTACACTTTTTTGGGTGTATTAATTACATTGGTTTAATTATTTATATATTAATTATATTTGTTTATATCACATTTCTTTATATATCTATATTATATAATTTATGTTTGTTTAACATAAATGCAAGCCTAGAATTACGAGCATTTTCTTACGCTTAGTCTAGTAGCCAATATAGGATATATTGATGATCAGTCTTGTGCACAATAATGGAAGCCCTATATGTGTTTGATTCACTACAACAATTATAGGAGCAGCTGAGTGACTTACTATCAACTCAAGTGTGTTGGAACCCATATAAGACACAATGACAACATCGTTCTTTATCGAAGATTTTTATTTTTTTTCTAGCTATATCATGTGCGAGGCTATCGTTGAGCCATATTATCCAAAGTGGGTGTTATCATAATTCAATTATGTATAGACAACATCAAGGGTTTGCTTCTACTACACTAGATGAGTTTTCACCAGATTATTATGCTTAGTATGCATCAGTTTCTCATCAGTACATACAAAATCCAATGTATAAAATTGGATTTCATTCTACCTCAATTGTCTCGGTTGTTAGTAGGCCTACCAAAGATATGGTAAATTATAACTTTAATACTAATTACTTATACAATATACCCAATTAGATCTTTTGGATATTGATTTTCCTTATTCAAATTTTATAAGCGAACTCATAAGCATTAGCAATTCTTTATACTGTTATTTTTTATGGTTTACATAAGGGACTGGATGTATAGAAAGATGTGATTTTCAAAGCATATGACATCTTGTTTGGGTTACAAACATCGATTCCTGGACCATCTTCCATTCTAGTGGCTAATCCTATTTGCTCCCAACTTTTAGTCCTGATAGCTATACTGTTCGATTCCCTATGCATCTCATCTCTACCATTGACGAGAGCATTGCTCGATTCCTCGTGTTCCCTACCTTTAGCATCAATTATAATGTGATTATAAATAACAAAAATAATAAATATAAAATCTAATAAATGGTACCTATACGAAATGACAATAATTTATAAATTCAATCATAATGACTTTGTGGTCCAATGGTGCATGTGGTATAGATCTAATCAGGAGATCGATCAATCATTATCTCAAACTGATGTGGATTAGCATGACATTATATTGTGAGGCAATCAAATGACCTATATTGAGTAAAGTCATCCACTTATCATATGAGGCACAAGTATCGAAACATGATAATGTTTTCTATCAACTCAACACACTCAATGGTGCCATACAATATGACATATTCACCTCAACATTGAATTAACTTATCAATTAAATCACATCGCACTTGTATCCAACCATCTATACCCAATCTAAGTAGTCCAGCAATATAATGAAAACTATAATGTTCATCATCTCAACATCAATGATAGTATATATATATATATAGATGTAACTCTACTAAAAAACTAGACAAATATCACATTATTTGTTTACCATGCAAACATTGAATAAGAAGTTTATCAATCTATGTCATCACTTTCACTAAATTAGTAGTGTTTGGTGGTAATGTACTATTTTGTATGGATAACACAATCTCTCACTGTGATGGGTCATGTCGTTTTAATTTATTTACTTTAATTACTCCATGACCTTTTGTCTTACCAATCTCTAGTGGTGGCATTAAAACAGTTATTGAAAAATCACCTAGTTCTCACAACTTTCTTTTTATAGCTAATGTATCAGATTCATCACACTCGTTAAAGCATTTTCTTTAACCTCTGGGTACATGTATCCTCCAAGACTAAATGTTTCATACAAGTGGGGAACAATTATTGGCATATTTCTCACCATCATTTTTCCTCTCCTGTCATCTCATACTTCACTTCCTAGGCCCAGTCTTCCACTATTGTTTATAATTTTTAGTAGTTTTTTTTTATCCTTTATAAATTTTTGCCTAGTCCAACTTCAATATTCTAACCTTTATTAATCATCTAATTGATCATGATCCTATTGAATTTAAGACCTCCACCCATAACATTAACAAGTTTAAAGGATTAGTAAAAGCCTTCTAATGACTCTTCTGCAGCTTTTATGTATGGAGCATCATAGGTTGAGTCACCAGTAAGTCTTTTTCTTCAACCGTAATCACCAATTGATCTTTCATGTTGAATTTAACCTTTTGATGTAGGGAGGAAAGAACAACACCTGCCATGCGAATCCATGACCTTCCTATCAACAATTGTAAAATGATGAAATATCCATAACCTGAAATTTTATGTTGAAGATACAAGACCCTATTTGCATTGGCAATTCAATATTTCTTAATACTTCACGTCTAGTTCCATCAAACGCTCAGACCACCATATAATAGTTTTTGATATGGGATATATCAATAGGTAGCCTTGCCAAAGTAGACATAGGCATAATATTAATGATCGAACCATTATTAATAAGGACTTTAGCTATAATATGACTCTTACATTTAACAATGATATGTAA